CGTGACCAAACTCCTCTCCTCGTAAAGACAGCACTGTTACAAGAGCGAGGTGCACACAGGCTGAGCCACAGTTTCAGTTCTTCCAATGAAACATTAACTCTAACAGATGAACATTTGTTTGTCCCGTATTATAGAAAAGATGAGTCTCCGCTTAGCATTACCCCCCCAAAACAAAAGACAAAAAAAAGTTTTTTTTGTAGTTTATCACAAATATCTACTAATTTCATTTTTCACAATATATCTTGCTTATATTTAGAACCATACTGTGACTGAACTGCTCTGTGATTCAATAAAGGATGAAATTTGAATAATAAATAATATTAAATGATTACATGAGCTCTCTAAATAATATCATCTTTTTGAAAGCAATAGTTATTTTATTAGGGAAATCAGTCAGTCTAACAAATAAAAATGTGTTTAAATTATTTTGTGCAACACAAAATACATATTTGGTATATATTTTTTATATATAAAATTATAATACATAATGTGTTTGTTTGCAATAAGTGTTATGAAAATGGTAAAATAATTGTATGACTATATCTGACTCGTCTTGCCAAAAATGTTTTTTATTAAATATATTAAAAACACTAAAATGACAAATACAAACTACAGTAAAGCTGTTCAAAATCTAAACTCTGAACTTTGACTACGAACATGGACACAGTAGTGTTATGACTAGACTACACCGTGTAGTTGTGTGTGGTGGTAAGAGTTATCGTGCATTTATTGTTATCGAACTGGTCAATATATTGTGATATTGATTTTAGGCCACATCGCCCAACCCTACGTTCAATGTGAGCTACTAAATTTAAATAAATGAGACGTGACGATGTTAGGATTAATGAAAATCACAAGAAAAACAACTACAATGTTCAAAAACCAGTCAAAAACCTGAAGTGGTTGAAAGTGGTGAACTTTGATTAGATGATATAAGTGTATTACTGTGGCATGGACCGAATTAGAACTGCTCATGAGAAGGATTACATTCCTCTGAAATCAGATTATAGAGAAGAAAAAAATAAAACTTTCATCCGGAGCTTTGTAAATCTTGATCGTGAGCGGATTCGACTGAATTACTGCAACTCAGACAGTGAAAGAATTACCCGCCATGTTTTTTTTATTTCCCATTTATTGTGATACAAATAACAATTTAAAAAAAAAATAAAGATTCGAAGCAGTTTGGCGGTGAAACAGTGTTGTATACAAACCACCTTCAAGGGCTACATGAAGTAGTTTATCTGAATCTGTAGCAACTCTGATTGTGATCTTATCTCTTTTGAGTTCAGTCAAGCAACAAAAAAAAAAGATGAGATAAAAACAAAAAGTAGACACACAAACCAAACTTCAGCACAGATGTTAGTTGAGCTCTTAAGAGTATTTTGAAGTGCCAGTTTGAACAGAATCGCTACCCAAACATAGAAAAACACAACTTGTATCATTAGAAAACTGTATTATTGGGTCACCAGCAGTCACATATTCAACCTAAACAAATATTCATCCCACGTTTGGAGCCAAATGGGACATTTCTCTAACTGTACGTTAACTGAGAG